CTTAGAGACCAGCCGTGTGACACAGGGGCCCCAAACCTTAAAAGCCCCTGAGTTTTAAGGTTCTAGATCAAAAGGTCAGTATACAGGGACCCTTTACATTTGATCAAATAGGGCAATGCTTTTGTATAAGGAAGGCCATAACTAACATTTCAGGGGCTTAGAGACCAGCCGTGTGACACAGGGGCCCCAAACCTGGTCCACTTAGACTAGGCCTTAGGGGGATGGAGTATGTTGAGTTTTAAGGTGCTAGGTCAAAAGGTCAGTATACAGGGACCCTTTACATTTGATCAAATAGGTAATGCTTTTGTATAAGGAAGGCCATAACTAACATTTCAGGGGCTTAGAGACCAGCCGTGTGACACAGGGGCCCCAAACCTGGTCCACTTAGACTAGGCCTTAGGGGGATGGAGTAGTTGAGTTTTAAGGTGCTAGGTCAAAAGGTCAGTATACAGGGACCCTTTACATTTGATCAAATGGGCAATGCTTTTGTATAAGGAAAGGCCATAACTAACATTTCAGGGGCTTAGAGACCAGCCGTGTGACACAGGGGCCCCAAACCTGGTCCACTTAGACTAGGCCTTAGGGGGATGGAGTATGTTGAGTTTTAAGGTGCTAGGTCAAAAGGTCAGTATACAGGGACCCTTTACATTTGATCAAATAGGGTAATGCTTTTGTATAAGGAAGGCCATAACTAACATTTCAGGGGCTTAGAGACCAGCCATGTGACACAGGGGCCCCAAACCTGGTCCACTTAGACTAGGCCTTAGGGGGATGGAGTATGTTGAGTTTTAAGGTGCTAGGTCAAAAGGTCAGTATACAGGGACCCTTTACATTTGATCAAATAGGCAATGCTTTTGTATAAGGAAAGGCCATAACTAACATTTCAGGGGCTTAGAGACCAGCCGTGTGACACAGGGGCCCCAAACCTGGTCCACTTAGACTAGGCCTAGGGGGATGAGTAGTTGAGTTTTAAGGTGCTAGGTCAAAAGGTCAGTATACAGGGACCCTTTACATTTGATCAAATAGGTAATGCTTTTGTATAAGGAAGGCCATAACTAACATTTCAGGGGCTTAGAGACCAGCCGTGTGACACAGGGGCCCCAAACCTGGTCCACTTAGACTAGGCCTTAGGGGGATGGAGTAGGTTGAGTTTTAAGGTGCTAGGTCAAAAGGTCAGTATACAGGGACCCTTTACATTTGATCAAATAGGGTAATGCTTTTGTATAAGGAAGGCCATAACTAACATTTCAGGGGCTTAGAGACCAGCCGTGTGACACAGGGGCCCCAAACCTGGTCCACTTAGACTAGGCCTTAGGGGGATGGAGTATGTTGAGTTTTAAGGTGCTAGGTCAAAAGGTCAGTATACAGGGACCCTTTACATTTGATCAAATAGGGTAATGCTTTTGTATAAGGAAGGCCATAACTAACATTTCAGGGGCTTAGAGACCAGCCGTGTGACACAGGGGCCCCAAACCTGGTCCACTTAGACTAGGCCTTAGGGGGATGGAGTATGTTGAGTTTTAAGGTGCTAGGTCAAAAGGTCAGTATACAGGGACCCTTTACATTTGATCAAATGGGCAATGCTTTTGTATAAGGAAGGCCATAACTAACATTTCAGGGGCTTAGAGACCAGCCGTGTGACACAGGGGCCCCAAACCTTAAAAGCCCCTGAGTTTTAAGGCTAGTCAAAAGGTCAGTAAGGGACCCTTTACATTTGATCAAAAGGCAATGCTTTTGTATAAGAAGGCCATAACTACATTTCAGGGGCTTAGAGACAGCCTGTGACACAGGGGCCCCAAACCTTAAAAGCCCTGAGTTTTAAGGTGCTAGGTCAAAAGGTCAGTATACAGCGACCCTTTACATTTGATCAAATAGGCAATGCTTTTGTATAAGGAAGGCCATAACTAACATTTCAGGGGCTTAGAGACCAGCCGTGTGACACAGGGGCCCCAAACCTGGTCCACTTAGACTAGGCCTTAGGGGGATGGAGTAGGTTGAGTTTTAAGGTGCTAGGTCAAAAGGTCAGTATACAGGGACCCTTTACATTTGATCAAATAGGTAATGCTTTTGTATAAGGAAGGCCATAACTAACATTTCAGGGGCTTAGAGACCAGCCGTGTGACACAGGGGCCCCAAACCTGGTCCACTTAGACTAGGCCTTAGGGGGATGGAGTATGTTGAGTTTTAAGGTGCTAGGTCAAAAGGTCAGTATACAGGGACCCTTTACATTTGATCAAATGGGTAATGCTTTTGTATAAGGAAGGCCATAACTAACATTTCAGGGGCTTAGAGACCAGCCGTGTGACACAGGGGCCCCAAACCTGGTCCACTTAGACTAGGCCTTAGGGGGATGGAGTATGTTGAGTTTTAAGGTGCTAGGTCAAAAGGTCAGTATACAGGGACCCTTTACATTTGATCAAATGGGCAATGCTTTTGTATAAGGAAAGGCCATAACTAACATTTCAGGGGCTTAGAGACCAGCCGTGTGACACAGGGGCCCCAAACCTGTCAAAGACAGCCCCATGAGTTGTTAAGGTTCTAGGTCAAAAGGTCAGTATACAGGGACCCTTTACATTTGATCAAATGGGCAATGCTTTTGTATAAGAAAGGCCATAACTAACATTTCAGGGGCTTAGAGACCAGCCGTGTGACACAGGGGCCCCAAACCTTAAAAGCCCCTGAGTTTTAAGGTTCTAGGTCAAAAGGTCAGTATACAGGGACCCTTTACATTTGATCAAATAAGCAATGCTTTTGTATAGGAAAGGCCATAACTAACATTTCAGGGGCTTAGAGACCAGCCGTGTGACACAGGGGCCCCAAACCTGGTCCACTTAGACTAGGCCTTAGGGGGATGGAGTATTTTGAGTTTTAAGGTGCTAGGTCAAAAGGTCAGTATACAGGGACCCTTTACATTTGATCAAATAGGTCAATGCTTTTGTATAAGGAAAGGCCATAACTAACATTTCAGGGGCTTAGAGACCAGCCATGTGACACAGGGGCCCCAAACCTGGTCCACTTAGACTAGGCCTTAGGGGGATGGAGTATGTTGAGTTTTAAGGTGCTAGGTCAAAAGGTCAGTATACAGGGACCCTTTACATTTGATCAAATAGGTAATGCTTTTGTATAAGGAAGGCCATAACTAACATTTCAGGGGCTTAGAGACCAGCCATGTGACACAGGGGCCCCAAACCTGGTCCACTTAGACTAGGCCTTAGGGGGATGGAGTATGTTGAGTTTTAAGGTGCTAGGTCAAAAGGTCAGCGAATGGTGACCCTTTACATTTGATCAAATAGGTAATGCTTTTGTATAAGGAAGGCCATAACTAACATTTCAGGGGCTTAGAGACCAGCCATGTGACACAGGGGCCCCAAACCTGGTCCACTTAGACTAGGCCTTAGGGGGATGGAGTATTTTGAGTTTTAAGGTGCTAGGTCAAAAGGTCAGTGAATGGTGACCCTTTACATTTGATCAAATAGGCAATGCTTTTGTATAAGAAAGGCCATAACTAACATTTCAGGGGCTTAGAGACCAGCCGTGTGACACAGGGGCCCCAAACCTGGTCCACTTAGACTAGGCCTTAGGGGGATGGAGTATGTTGAGTTTTAAGGTGCTAGGTCAAAAGGTCAGTATACAGGGACCCTTTACATTTGATCAAATGGGTAATGCTTTTGTATAAGGAAGGCCATAACTAACATTTCAGGGGCTTAGAGACCAGCCGTGTGACACAGGGGCCCCAAACCTGGTCCACTTAGACTAGGCCTTAGGGGGATGGAGTATGTTGAGTTTTAAGGTGCTAGGTCAAAAGGTCAGTGACATGGGACCCTTTACATTTGATCAAATAGGCAATGCTTTTGTAGAAGAAAGGCCATAACTAACATTTCAGGGGCTTAGAGACCAGCCGTGTGACACAGAGGCCCCAAACCTGGTCGACTTAGACTAGGCCTTAGGGGGATGGAGTAGGTTGAGTTTTAAGGTGCTAGGTCAAAAGGTCAGTATACAGGGACCCTTTACATTTGATCAAATACGTAATGTTTTGTATAAGGAAGGCCATAACTAACATTTCAGGGGCTTAGAGACCAGCCATGTGACAGAGGGGCCCCAAACCTGGTCCACTTAGACTAGGCCTTAGGGGGATGGAGTGGGTTGAGTTTTAAGGTGTTAGGTCAAAAGGTCAGTATACAGGGACCCTTTACATTTGATCAAATGGGTAATGCTTTTGTATAAGGAAGGCCATAACTAACATTTCAGGGGCTTAGAGACCAGCCGTGTGACACAGGGGCCCCAAACCTGGTCCACTTAGACTAGGCCTTAGGGGGATGGAGTAGGTTGAGTTTTAAGGTGCTAGGTCAAAAGGTCAGTATACAGGGACCCTTTACATTTGATCAAATGGGTAATGCTTTTGTATAAGGAAGGCCATAACTAACATTTCAGGGGCTTAGAGACCAGCCGTGTGACACAGGGGCCCCAAACCTTAAAAGCCCCTGAGTTTTAAGGTTCTAGGTCAAAAACGTCAGTGAATGGTGACCCTTTACATTTGATCAAATGGGCAATGCTTTTGTATAAGAAAGGCCATAACTAACATTTCAGGGGCTTAGAGACCAGCCGTGTGACACAGGGGCCCCAAACCTTAAAAGCCCCTGAGTTTTAAGGTTCTAGATCAAAAGGTCAGTATACAGCGACCCTTTACATTTGATCAAATAGGCAATGCTTTTGTATAGGAAAGGCCATAACTAACATTTCAGGGGCTTAGAGACCAGCCGTGTGACACAGGGGCCCCAAACCTTAAAAGCCCCTGAGTTTTAAGGTTCTAGATCAAAAGGTCAGTATACAGGGACCCTTTACATTTGATCAAATAGGTAATGCTTTTGTATAGGAAGGCCATAACTAACATTTCAGGGGCTTAGAGACCAGCCATGTGACACAGGGGCCCCAAACCTGGTCCACTTAGACTAGGCCTTAGGGGGATGGAGTGGTTTGAGTTTTAAGGTGCTAGGTCAAAAGGTCAGTATACAGGGACCCTTTACATTTGATCAAATAGGTAATGCTTTTGTATAAGAAAGGCCATAACTAACATTTCAGGGGCTTAGAGACCAGCCATGTGACACAGGGGCCCCAAACCTGGTCCACTTAGACTAGGCCTTAGGGGGATGGAGTATTTGAGTTTTAAGGTGCTAGGTCAAAAGGTCAGTATACAGGGACCCTTTACATTTGATCAAATGGGCAATGCTTTTGTATAAGAAAGGCCATAACTAACATTTCAGGGGCTTAGAGACCAGCCGTGTGACACAGGGGCCCCAAACCTGTCACAGACAGGCCTAGCGGGGATGAGTTGAGTTTTAAGGTTCTAGATCAAAAGGTCAGTATACAGGGACCCTTTACATTTGATCAAATAGGTAATGCTTTTGTATAACGAAGGCCATAACTAACATTTCAGGGGCTTAGAGACCAGCCATGTGACACAGGGGCCCCAAACCTGGTCCACTTAGACTAGGCCTTAGGGGGATGGAGTATGTTTGAGTTTTAAGGTGCTAGGTCAAAAGGTCAGTGAATGGTGACCCTTTACATTTGATCAAATGGGCAATGCTTTTGTATAGGAAAGGCCATAACTAACATTTCAGGGGCTTAGAGACCAGCCATGTGACACAGGGGCCCCAAACCTGGTCCACTTAGACTAGGCCTTAGGGGGATGAAGTATTTTGAGTTTTAATGTGCTAGGTCAAAAGGTCAGTGAATGGTGACCCTTTACATTTGATCAAATAGGCAATGCTTTTGTATAAGAAAGGCCATAACTAACATTTCAGGGGCTTAGAGACCAGCCGTGTGACACAGGGGCCCCAAACCTGGTCCACTTAGACTAGGCCTTAGGGGGATGGAGTATGTTGAGTTTTAAGGTGCTAGGTCAAAAGGTCAGTATACAGGGACCCTTTACATTTGATCAAATGGGTAATGCTTTTGTATAAGGAAGGCCATAACTAACATTTCAGGGGCTTAGAGACCAGCCATGTGACACAGGGGCCCCAAACCTGGTCCACTTAGACTAGGCCTTAGGGGGATGGAGTATGTTGAGTTTTAAGGTGCTAGGTCAAAAGGTCAGTATACAGGGACCCTTTACATTTGATCAAATAGGCAATGCTTTTGTATAAGGAAGGCCATAACTAACATTTCAGGGGCTTAGAGACCAGCCGTGTGACACAGGGGCCCCAAACCTGGTCCACTTAGACTAGGCCTTAGGGGGATGGAGTAGGTTGAGTTTTAAGGTGCTAGGTCAAAAGGTCAGTATACAGGGACCCTTTACATTTGATCAAATGGGTAATGCTTTTGTATAAGGAAGGCCATAACTAACATTTCAGGGGCTTAGAGACCAGCCGTGTGACACAGGGGCCCCAAACCTGGTCCACTTAGACTAGGCCTTAGGGGGATGGAGTGTTGAGTTTTAAGGTTCTAGGTCAAAAGGTCAGTATACAGGGACCCTTTACATTTGATCAAATGGGCAATGCTTTTGTATAAGGAAAGGCCATAACTAACATTTCAGGGGCTTAGAGACCAGCCGTGTGACACAGGGGCCCCAAACCTTAAAAGCCCCTGAGTTTTAAGGTTCTAGATCAAAAGGTCAGTATACAGGGACCCTTTACATTTGATCAAATAGGCAATGCTTTTGTATAGGAAAGGCCATAACTAACATTTCAGGGGCTTAGAGACCAGCCGTGTGACACAGGGGCCCCAAACCTGTAAAAGCCCGCTGAGTTTTAAGGTTCTAGGTCAAAAGGTCAGTATACAGGGACCCTTTACATTTGATCAAATAGGTAATGCTTTTGTATAAGGAAGGCCATAACTAACATTTCAGGGGCTTAGAGACCAGCCGTGTGACACAGGGGCCCCAAACCTGGTCCACTTAGACTAGGCCTTAGGGGGATGGAGTGGTTTGAGTTTTAAGGTGCTAGGTCAAAAGGTCAGTATACAGGGACCCTTTACATTTGATCAAATAGGTAATGCTTTTGTATAAGAAAGGCCATAACTAACATTTCAGGGGCTTAGAGACCAGCCATGTGACACAGGGGCCCCAAACCTGGTCCACTTAGACTAGGCCTTAGGGGGATGGAGTGGATTGAGTTTTAAGGTGCTAGGTCAAAAGGTCAGTATACAGGGACCCTTTACATTTGATCAAATGGGCAATGCTTTTGTATAAGAAAGGCCATAACTAACATTTCAGGGGCTTAGAGACCAGCCGTGTGACACAGGGGCCCCAAACCTGGTCCACTAGACTAGCCTAGGGGGTGAGTAGTTTTAATGTGCTAGGTCAAAAGGTCAGTATACAGGGACCCTTTACATTTGATCAAATAGGTAATGCTTTTGTATAACGAAGGCCATAACTAACATTTCAGGGGCTTAGAGACCAGCCATGTGACACAGGGGCCCCAAACCTGGTCCACTTAGACTAGGCCTTAGGGGGATGGAGTATGTTGAGTTTTAAGGTGCTAGGTCAAAAGGTCAGTGAATGGTGACCCTTTACATTTGATCAAATGGGCAATGCTTTTGTATAAGGAAAGGCCATAACTAACATTTCAGGGGCTTAGAGACCAGCCATGTGACACAGGGGCCCCAAACCTGGTCCACTTAGACTAGGCCTTAGGGGGATGAAGTATGTTTGAGTTTTAATGTGCTAGGTCAAAAGGTCAGTGAATGGTGACCCTTTACATTTGATCAAATAGGCAATGCTTTTGTATAAGAAAGGCCATAACTAACATTTCAGGGGCTTAGAGACCAGCCGTGTGACACAGGGGCCCCAAACCTGGTCCACTTAGACTAGGCCTTAGGGGGATGGAGTATGTTGAGTTTTAAGGTGCTAGGTCAAAAGGTCAGTATACAGGGACCCTTTACATTTGATCAAATAGGGTAATGCTTTTGTATAAGGAAGGCCATAACTAACATTTCAGGGGCTTAGAGACCAGCCATGTGACACAGGGGCCCCAAACCTGGTCCACTTAGACTAGGCCTTAGGGGGATGGAGTATGTTGAGTTTTAAGGTGCTAGGTCAAAAGGTCAGTGAATGGTGACCCTTTACATTTGATCAAATAGGCAATGCTTTTGTATAAGGAAGGCCATAACTAACATTTCAGGGGCTTAGAGACCAGCCGTGTGACACAGGGGCCCCAAACCTGGTCCACTTAGACTAGGCCTTAGGGGGATGGAGTATGTTGAGTTTTAAGGTGCTAGGTCAAAAGGTCAGTATACAGGGACCCTTTACATTTGATCAAATGGGTAATGCTTTTGTATAAGGAAGGCCATAACTAACATTTCAGGGGCTTAGAGACCAGCCGTGTGACACAGGGGCCCCAAACCTGGTCCACTTAGACTAGGCCTTAGGGGGATGGAGTAGGTTGAGTTTTAAGGTGCTAGGTCAAAAGGTCAGTATACAGGGACCCTTTACATTTGATCAAATGGGTAATGCTTTTGTATAAGGAAGGCCATAACTAACATTTCAGGGGCTTAGAGACCAGCCGTGTGACACAGGGGCCCCAAACCTTAAAAGCCCCTGAGTTTTAAGGTTCTAGGTCAAAAGGTCAGTGAATGGTGACCCTTTACATTTGATCAAATGGGCAATGCTTTTGTATAAGAAAGGCCATAACTAACATTTCAGGGGCTTAGAGACCAGCCGTGTGACACAGGGGCCCCAAACCTTAAAAGCCCCTGAGTTTTAAGGTGCTAGGTCAAAAGGTCAGTATACAGCGACCCTTTACATTTGATCAAATAGGCAATGCTTTTGTATAGGAAAGGCCATAACTAACATTTCAGGGGCTTAGAGACCAGCCGTGTGACACAGGGGCCCCAAACCTTAAAAGCCCCTGAGTTTTAAGGTTCTAGATCAAAAGGTCAGTATACAGGGACCCTTTACATTTGATCAAATAGGTAATGCTTTTGTATAACGAAGGCCATAACTAACATTTCAGGGGCTTAGAGACCAGCCATGTGACACAGGGGCCCCAAACCTGGTCCACTTAGACTAGGCCTTAGGGGGATGAAGTATTTTGAGTTTTAAGGTGCTAGGTCAAAAGGTCAGCGAATGGTGACCCTTTACATTTGATCAAATGGGCAATGCTTTTGTATAGGAAAGGCCATAACTAACATTTCAGGGGCTTAGAGACCAGCCATGTGACACAGGGGCCCCAAACCTGGTCCACTTAGACTAGGCCTTAGGGGGATGAAGTATGTTGAGTTTTAAGGTGCTAGGTCAAAAGGTCAGTGAATGGTGACCCTTTACATTTGATCAAATAGGCAATGCTTTTGTATAAGAAAGGCCATAACTAACATTTCAGGGGCTTAGAGACCAGCCATGTGACACAGGGGCCCCAAACCTGGTCCACTTAGACTAGGCCTTAGGGCGGGATGGAGTATGTTGAGTTTTAAGGTGCTAGGTCAAAAGGTCAGTATACAGGGACCCTTTACATTTGATCAAATGGGTAATGCTTTTGTATAAGGAAGGCCATAACTAACATTTCAGGGGCTTAGAGACCAGCCATGTGACACAGGGGCCCCAAACCTGGTCCACTTAGACTAGGCCTTAGGGGGATGGAGTATGTTGAGTTTTAAGGTGCTAGGTCAAAAGGTCAGTATACAGGGACCCTTTACATTTGATCAAATAGGTAATGCTTTTGTATAAGGAAGGCCATAACTAACATTTCAGGGGCTTAGAGACCAGCCATGTGACAGAGGGGCCCCAAACCTGGTCCACTTAGACTAGGCCTTAGGGGGATGGAGTATGTTGAGTTTTAAGGTGCTAGGTCAAAAGGTCAGTGAATGGTGACCCTTTACATTTGATCAAATAGGCAATGCTTTTGTATAGGAAAGGCCATAACTAACATTTCAGGGGCTTAGAGACCAGCCGTGTGACACAGGGGCCCCAAACCTGGTCCACTTAGACTAGGCCTTAGGGGGATGGAGTAGGTTGAGTTTTAAGGTGCTAGGTCAAAAGGTCAGTATACAGGGACCCTTTACATTTGATCAAATAGGTAATGCTTTTGTATAAGGAAGGCCATAACTAACATTTCAGGGGCTTAGAGACCAGCCGTGTGACACAGGGGCCCCAAACCTGGTCCACTTAGACTAGGCCTTAGGGGGATGGAGTATGTTGAGTTTTAAGGTGCTAGGTCAAAAGGTCAGTGACATGGGACCCTTTACATTTGATCAAATAGGGCAATGCTTTTGTATAAGGAAAGGCCATAACTAACATTTCAGGGGCTTAGAGACCAGCCGTGTGAC